AAGGTACAACATTAACAAAGCAAAAAGAAAGACATTAAATTACAACCTATTAATTTACACAATCTTATGTCTAGATTAAAGTCGGGTGTTTCTGTTGCCTCCAATAAAATGCCGAATAGTTCAATAATTCAATGTTCCGAAACACCAAAAGCCTTAGTTACACAAGAAGCCCCATTTTCGAGACCACGCTCCCCTCAACCCATTTTAGYCCCGCCACTAAAAGAACCTGACAACACATCATTTCAAAAGAGAGTGTTAGGCTTATGCCTAGTGAGTCCAATCAATAACATAAAGGTAACTATAAGACCTTTATGTGAATATATATATATATATATATATATATATATAGATGGATGACGTAATTTTAAACGATATAAGAAAAGCAGTTAAACCAAAATATCTCGCGGATGAGTCAAAACATTCGAAGATGACGGGGGAGACCCGATTTACCATTAATTATGACGAAACACAAAGTAAGTCATAGATTAACGTTATAGAGCATCACTTACCGGTATAAAACCATCGACATCAACCTAAATCAGTCATGTAGTCGGTCGTGATCATAAACTATTTATCTCGGAAATTACATAATAATCACAATGCCTATTTCTGAGTGGGAGTGAGAAGATGATTTGGTGATTACATAATAATCACAATGCCTATCACCAACTTACACCATCATTCCCACGAATAAAATTAAACGACATTCATGTCTATAATTCCATCACCTTTTAGTGGCATACCCAAAACTCAACGTTTTTAGCATATACACATTTATACATTACTAAGACTTTGCATAAAACCCTTAGTCCAATGGAGTACTCCCATTCGCCAATGCCATTTCGAATATAGAACGTATGGGTGTTAGTGTCTTATGGCCAACAATATTTGAAGTGGRTGTTTTACCAAACGATTATACTTTTTCCCCAATTCATCTTTTCAATATGGGCGAGATCCTTAAGTTAGTTCTTCATTTAAAGAGGTCTCCATTTCCAATCAAGCAAGTGACTTCATCTACCTAAAGTTCGAGATAAGCCTAATGCAACATACCAAATATTGTAAAGTTTCATTTGTGTAAGGTTCCAATATTAAGGTAGAATGAACTCACGTTGTAGGATTTAGGAGAAATCTCAAGTCTTTGAATTAAAAGGTAGACGAAAGGGAACTCAAGAAATAGCAAAGAAGACGGAGGAACGGAACAGCCGCACGTAGGAGGCACAACACAACAGTTGCGTACAGCTCGCACGGAGGCAGACCGGGCTGGAGTCTTTTAGGCAGACGCGTGCAGGCCGTGGCCGGAGCTAGAGGTTGATGACGGTAGCTGCAGAAGTTTCTAAGAAGGGGGTTAGACTAAATGGAGATGAGACCACTCTTTCCTCCATTCATTCACAATCGGCAGCCGCTTAGGAGTTCTTCTTAGTCTCCCCCCCAAACTAAAACTCAGTCCCAAGACAAGGACAATAGGTAAGGATTTAAGAACTGGTTGTCCTCCTCCTCCTCCTTTTTCTTCTCTCGATTTCTTTCTTTTTCTCCCAATGATGTTGTCCCCTCCCATTTAAACACACTTCCCCACATTTTTTTACATGGTGGTAAGGACCTTTATGTAAGAAAGGAATCCTAAAAATAAGGCTCAAAAGGAGAGGGTAAAGCATGGGTGTGAAATGATAGCCCTYTTCTCCCTCTCTCCTCTTTTCTTTTCTTTTCCCCAAGAAGAAGTGACCTCCAAATTTGCCGGGGATTAGTCGGGCCTTGGCCCGGACACCATTACAAAAAAAAAAAGAAGTGACCTCCAATCCGCTTTAGTGAGGGTAGGACAAGACTAAAATCCACCAGTCTGCACCCCCCCTTTTTCATCTTTTCAATCATTTTATTCATTTTATAAGTATATTTTTTTTTTAGAAAAAAGAAGAGAAAAGGGCCTAAAGATTAAAGGTCAAAATCTTTTAATTATGAAACATATTTGCCACTAACGAGATGAAATTCCCTAAAGCGAACGGAACAGAGAATACGGAAAAAAAAAACTCGAGTGTTACAAAAAGGTTTGTCATGATTGTAGACTCGTATCTGACGTCACGTTAAACCTGTGACACATCGTGGCTTAATATGCCTGGTAAACTTATCATTTAGATTTAATGGGACCTTGTCACACAACGTCCCCATGGCAACCCACAACTTTAGATTCCTCATCCTTATGCTCTGTTGTCATCCTTGACGTCATCCCATTTTAAATCATGGAGCCTAGATACCTGAAGCCATCCTTTTGGGATATATTTTGCCTCCAACGTTTACATCCACCCTCTCGTTGATACTTTCTCCACTAAAATTACACCATAAATATTTAATAATTTGTAGGCCTTGTGGTTCCACTACTATAAACTCTCGCTCACTTCCGCCTTAGCCTCCGCTACTAGCACGATCTTGTCCATATCGCTTATAGTCTTACGCTATGAAACATTTCTCTGAATCTCTCAGAAAATCTCATTCAGCAAAAATTTGATCACCATTACTTATAAAATTGATAGTGATCTGTAAATAAAATAGTTATTTTAAACCAGGTGATTACAATTGTTTTTTTCAACTTTCTTTGATACTTCATCAATAACTATACATAAATATATGTATACAGACATAGACTGATACCTAATTGATGTTTTTTGCGAAAATATAAGTATACATATAAATTTTTTAGATAAGTATGTAAATAGAGGTTAGTTATCATGATCAAAAATGTGTGAAGACTAGCCGGAGAGTTAGCCGTTAGGCTTGTTGGCTAATAAGGTAGCTATTGGTTGAAAAACTAGACGTGTTTGATTAAAACTAGTTAATAGTTAGATAACAATGTAAAATAACCTAAAAATACATTTGGAAAAAAACAGTGAAAAACGCTTATTGAAAAATTGAATCCGTTGACTTTTGAATTTTTACTATTTCCAGAAGATCTACGGAGATGTAAAATCGAACTACAGTGTCAAAAATATTTTTACAATGATCAATGTGTCATTTCTTCAATGCTTTAAAAAAAATTCGATTTGAAAAAAGAACTTGGACCACGGGTTTAGGGTGTTTATGTTAGTTCATATTTTTTTAATTGTTAGGAATACAAAATATATATATATATATATATATATAATTTATATTTCTTACATTTCAATTTTATTTTCATAATAAAACATGCTTTTAGGGTTTTTTTTTTTTTCTCTATAAAATGTCAGGAACAAACCTGATGGCTCACGAAACGAAATTTTTTCAATAAACTCATAAAATAAGTTATTTTTTTATAAACTAGCTTATGATTGGCTTACATGTCGTATTGATAGAGGTGGATCCAGAAAAAATTTCAAGTGGGGCTACAAAATAATTAGCATAATATAAAATAGAGTAAATTATGATTTTTTGTCCTTGTAGTTTGTTAATGATTCTGAATTTCGTCCCTGTAGTTTAGATATTGTAATTTTCATCTCTATGGTTGGAATTTGTTAATGTTTATGGACTAATTCATACCTTAAAGTATAAGGAACCTAAAAAGTAAAGAATTGTAAACCACAAGGACTAAAACAACAATAAATTGTAAATCATTAGAACAAAAAATAGCATTGAATTATAAACCATAGGGACGAAAACCACAATTTCTAAAAGATAGAAACGAAAATTGCAATTTTTAACAAACCACATAGATGATAATCATAATTTACTCCATAAAATAAAACCAAATGTAATTAGAAAAAGTAAAGTTTCATTAAAAATGGCGAACACATGATTTTTTGCAACATACAAGTGTCTTTTCATTATTTTCTTCTTCCATCTTTTGCGTCATCGGTTACCAAAAGATTAAACTAATGCAAAATGATTTCAACTTAGAAATCTAATGTCGCGTGCAATAATATTACTAATCGATTGTAACCACTTTTTATTAACTTAAAAACACATCAATTTATAGCAGATGCATCTTTAAAACCCTTAAAAGAAATTCCTCTACATCAGCACCAATTTCTTAAATTCGTCCGGCTCTATGTATGTGTATATACAAGAACGTATATATTGACATAAGGATTTGATAAAAATCATAATTTTTCATCTAGAGAATATTAATCTTTTCGGTTGTTATTTGGTAGCCACGATTTTAGTTGATTAAAATAAAACAAATAACTATATAATTTATATGATTGTGAAAGTATAAATGTGTTTGATCTATGTGTGTATATAAAAACCTAATCGAGAAAATTATATAAATACAACTATATCTTTATCTATTTTGACCTTTGGCATATAGTTCAAATGGTAAAGAGATGAGATAACTTTACCAAAATATAAGACATATACCACGTTCGATCTCAGGACCCTGCTAAACTCAATCATTAAGTGACCCAAAAATTACTTCCCCGTAGTAAAGTCCTTGAAGACATGTCTTAAAATTACCAGTAATTAACTTTTTACCCAAATATCTTTTATCTATTTGCAACTGATTTCATACAAACACAACTGGTTCGTAGTTTTAAAGAAGCATATGTTTGACAGTCGGAAAATTGCAATGTCATTTATATTACTCAAAAAAAAAAAAAAAGATAACATCCAACAGAGGAGTTAGGTAACAACTTTTTCCAAAAATATTGTTGGTGGGGTTTCTTTTTTCATGCGTATTTATTATGCTTTATTGTTTTTTAATTCTTATTTTAAGTAACTTTGGACCAATTTATTATACACTTACTTGATAAGTGCTTAATGGTTCAGTTATCTTATCAGATGAAGGACCGAGAATCTTACCCGGTAAGAGGGAAGACAAGGATTGAAAGTCTTAAACCCGGTAAGTGAAGGTGATGTCTCTTACCTGGTTATAAATGCGAGTAAGAGTCTTCACCATCACTTACCGGATAAGACTCTTTATCCTTATCATCGCTCTTATTGGGTAAGATTGTTGGGTAAGTGTTCAGTAAACGGGCCGTTAGTCTAGATTTGAGAGCTTTCCTATTAGCACCATGCTTATACCACATAATTGTTTTTTCTCCTAGAAGTGTAATCGTACAATGCAATATAAAAAATACATCTGTATTTCGCTTCTCTCGATTCCATTTTATGAATTTGTCCTTTCTGAGATGGTGAAAGAGTCTTCTCTGGCCAATCTTAATTGAAGGGCTAACAAATCGAAGCCTTATATTATGTATTTACTGGAAAACGGTGTTTTTTGCCTTCTTAATTTGTGGTTTCAGTTGAATACGGAGTTTGTATTCTGTTACTTACATTCTGAGTATAGATAAGAAATTTAAACAGGGGTGAAGAGAGTGGCTAAACCTTGGTCCACCACCACTTGCAGCTTCTTGTATACCATCCAGGATTTTAGGTTGGACTTGTATGTTCCTTTCCCTCTTGCCAACACTTCCCCATCCGAATCTATGATCCCTTCCTTCATCGACTTATCCGTTCGTGAACCAGGCTCCAAGATCACGGCTTTCACCTGTTCATAAATAAACACCACCCATCAGAAACAGTAGCAGGAATGAGCATTACCAAATGTTCAAGCAAAACCAAACTAAAAGAACCTAGTAAATCCCACAAAGAAGTCAGGTAAGGGATAGGATGTATGCAAACCTTTTTGTTTCTATGAAGGCCCCAACACGCAAAACAAAAATTTCAGTAGGTGGAGTTTAATACTAATTTGATATTTCAAATAGATTTGTGTTCCACTAAGATTGAGTAGCTGGTACACCAACCGAACCCCACTAAATCGCACACAAAAGTAGGATCTGCGGGTGTGGGTAGGATGTATGCAGACCTTTCCTCTACCCCCGGGGGGGGGAGGGAAGACCCTCGATTTGCAAAACAGAAATTTGAGTAGGTGACCTTTGTACTAATTTGATAGAGAAAAGAAAAATCGATGGTTTATACATGTTATTGGTTTGTAAATGGTTCGAATTGAATTTGTTGGTGTGCACAGGTATCAGACCTTTCCTCCTTACGCACCATTAGGGGTGTAAATGATGCGAGTCCAGCTCGAGTATCATTATACTCGACTCGAACTCGAAACCTAATCTCGAAGCTCGAACTCGACTCGAAAACTCGCGAGTAGTCAAAATCGAAGCTCAACTCGAACTCGATTCAAGCTCGAACTCGARCTCGATTCAAGCTCGAACTCGAGCTCGAWTCAAGCTCGAACTCGAGCTCGAATCAAGCTCGAACTAGAACTCGAATCAAGCTCGAACTCGAACATAAACGAACATGCCTAAATTATAACTTAGGTTCGACCTCTTGGGCCGACCTTAGACTGGAGCCCCTCCAAAGTGCAATGGAGGTCGCCAACCTAGGCCATGGGTCATCTTGACCACCCATTGACCCCGTCCAGCGGTCCAGGTAAGTACCTTCTCCCTTCCCCCACCTTCTCCTTTTAAACCCATCTCTCCACCTTTCAATTCTTCACTCATTACCAATGTGGGATCAAAAATTACACTTATTCATTCACTTTCAGAAGCTAAATAAATACAAATTATATATTAAAATTATATACAAATTATAATTTAAACTAAATAAATACAAATTATATATTAAAATTAATACATAATATTATAAAAGGGTAGGGAGACTAAAATGTGTATAATTTATAAATTATATTAAAAGAAATCATATTAAAATCACATTAATATTATATTATAAATTAATTGTTATTAATTTTTTATATTGTATATTTTATAAAATGTATTATATAATTAATTATATAAAAAATATATTCGAGTATCTCACGAGCCTATCGAGTCGAGTATCAGATAGCTCGGCTCGACTCGTTAGTATGTCGAGTCGAGCTCGAGTTCGAGTCGAACTTATTCGAGTCGAGTGTTGACCGAGTTTTGACCAAGTCGATGCGAGTTGTCTCGTCTCATTTACACCCCTACGCACCATAGTTGTAGTACTTTGGCCATTTTTTGCTATGGGTTTTAATTATTAATCACGAAAGCATGTATTTCATGTTAACGTTATTGCTTTTTGGACATTTATGGGCTGATTTTTTTTCCTTCAGTTTATTCTCTACCATAGCGTTCTAAAACTAGACCATAACTACAGTCTACAGCACAGAGCCATAGTTTTAAGAATATATCTGCGCTGGTTTCCCTACTAATTTCTAAACACCTCTCTACTGGGAATTGAAAGATGAACTCACCTTCATGTACACAACGTATGGAGATTTTACGTGACCTCCGTCGTTCAATTTAGACATCAAGGATATCAAGGTTAATTTTGGGCATTGCCGAATTACAATCAAGTCCAAATAGCCATCTCCAAACTGAAAATAAACAGCAGAATGTGTAAGCAAGAAGTATCATAGAGCCACGGCTAGATAATTACATAGAAATACGCAAGGGCTTCTTTTATATCTTAATTCCACTCGAAGAACAAGCACTTTGAGACAGTTGAAGTCCGTTGACTTCACTCAGAACTCTACCACGTATAAACCTTAAAACCTGTAAACTGCTTCAAACCAATTTCTGGAAAGTTCTCTCATTTCGGTAGCATCAAGTTCCTCATCGAGATGGTTTAGATGATGGACATGAGTTGCTTTCAGAAAAGTAAGGATGGACCAAAAAGACACATCATGATCACTTTGAGACAATTTCTATTGAATCACAATAAAAGAAATAAACCTTGGCATCAGGCGCTGCCATGGTGTTTTCAGCACCCCAAGGAACATTATGAAGCCAAACAGAAACAAACGGACCATCAAGCTTTCTCCAATTTAAATTCTCCAAATCAACCTTGGGACCCTGGTACCCATGCTGCCAAGGCTTAAGAGGCTCCATAGAATCAACACATGAACCACTTGGCTCTCCTACATCTTCAAAGCCGGGTGCAGGTACAAAAGATATACTGCCATTATATTCCCGCAGCCGTAAAATTCGTTTAAGAGCCTGAATTTTGGAAAAAGACCGAATCAGCTATTGGTTTGCTGAATGTGATTGACATACAAAATGGTAAATGATACTGATAGAATTGTCTTGTTTTCATTATAACATAGGAACATCATACAAAATCGTACAGCATGTACATGTCAAATTAACAGGCCAATGCAAGAAAGCAAGAGAGAGGAAGAGTAATCAACTAATGTCTATTTGAATGCAACCTCTAAACGAAAAGTCTCGACTTACATAGAAACTTATTCGAGCACTTCCCATCCACCGATACTTTTCTGACTCGATGTCTATATCTGCTATTAGTCCTTCAAAAATACAATAAGAAAACAAACCCAATGCATAAATTAAAATTTTAAAAGCACTACAATCTATAGTTATAATGACGAAAGATTGTAAAAGTTCAATTAGTTTTCAGTATACCCCATGCAAGCATCAAGACACTAAAAAATTTGGTCTCCCCTTGCCAGATTGTAGCTACATCCAGAGAGCGTTTATGCCCTGCCAAAAATGAAGCATACAAAAATAATCAAGGTCTGAATACCAATTACAGACTAAGATAAGTAAAAGTGAGTATTAAAAACTACATTGATCAAACAAAATAACCTCGAATTGCAGCAAGAATTGCATGAGCAGCTGTGCATGGCTCGCCGACTGAATCTAAAAGGGATTTTATCATGCCATTCCCCGTACCTTTGCCATAAACAATTCATGTTGTTAGGTTTTAAGCCAAATGAGAAATATATCCAATCATCACCGCTGGCCATGATATGACAGGAGAAGGATATTATAAAAGGTAGGCTTGAACCAAAACAAAAGATGGGCAGAAGTGGAGCAATGCAACTCCAATAGATGAGTTTAATCAGGTTTGATCATATTGTTTTGTAATCCTTAAATTTCTTAGGGCTTCTTATTAGCCTACTCCACTTAGTTTGGCACCAACAGCTTTTTTAGTTCAAATTAGCTGAAAATTTATAATTGGCTAAAGAAATTGCCTTGGTAACTATGCTTCCATCATTATATAAGACGGGAAAGAGGAAAAAATATGTGCCAATAATTCATGTACAATAGAGATCAAGTGGATAATCAGGGGAAAGAATAGAAGTTCTGTGTGAACTGTTGATTAAAGTGAAATGGTGAAGCCCAGTCTTGTTTAGTTATTGAACACATACAGGGATTGTGATTGAAGTTCTCAAATAGTTCCCCTCACCTCCCCCTCAAAACTCACAAGGTAAAAACCATGACATAAATCCAGTACGGTATCTGATAACCGGTAACCGGTAACATTAAATAATAGAATTTGAATCCGGGTTAATATGGACGAGAATGAAAATTAGCGCGGTTATCATAACTGAGAAGATGAAAAAAACTGGCCCCATGATGCTCATGAGTGGCAATGCTTCCATCATACATGTGCAAAATCATGTAGTGAAACAAAAATTGAGCAGGGAAATAGTCAAGAGGATGTAATGAACAGACCTGCAGGTATGACTCCAAGAGGCATCTTCAGTGCAGCTGCCCAGTCTTCTCTTTCAAGCAATCCATTCATAACCTACTACAATTTGCAAGTTCCAACCCATGGGTGATCAGGTGACAATGTTGAAATCTTATCATGCTTTAACAATGATGCATGGAAGAAGTGGGACTAGTTAAAATCTCTATGAGTTAAAGATGTTCCTCTTGCTTCAAACTTATATTCAAATTTATATTAGGAGCTCGCACTCAGCACATATATTTGTTGGGACGATTTGGTAGCAACACTCAGCTTCATCACTGAAAGAACAATCTCCACTTTAGTAGTGTGCATAAATGCACCTAATCGCCATACTGGGTAACCTTAGTTCAATAGTTAAAGAATAAATATCAATCTACAAGTCTTTTATCCCAAACTAGTTGGGGTACCAAATGTTCCAGGCATTATCACTGTTTCAAGGGACAGTTACACTACAGGCCCTATACAGAAATTGCTTCCAAACATGCACATGATGTTTCTTGACTTGGAGTCCATATAGCAAAAGGTGTAGTTTATATCACAGAAATAGGTAACAAACCAACCTCAACCAATATGCCATCCCCACTAACACAAATGATACCATCATACTTTGTAAGGTCCAATGAACGAGAAACTTCTTTTGCATGAAGCTGATATTTGGTTTCTGGAGATAAGATTAAAGCCAATTAGCGCTGTTACGCTTTGAAAAATGAAATGGGCAAATGCATGGCTAATAGACACAAGTAGAACAAACCTTGCATCGTATATTCGATATTAGCATCCTCAAGTATCGGTTTTACATCATAGTTAAAAATCTTGGAAGCAGATTTCCTCCCACCAAATGGATTAACAAATATAAACAGCTTCTTTGGTCGACCTGTTGCCACAACCATTCTAAGTGATAAAACACAGAGACACTATATTTGAAAAATCTAACAGAAATATATGAATATCTTAGTCAAAGACAAATAGGAATGGTTTAGGCCTGCTTTAATTAAAATGGTTGGAGTCTACATTTGCAACAAACAGCATAAACAGATAACCTGCAATGAGCACATAGAGTCCAGACTCCAAAAGATTCGAACCCCAGACTCAGAGCTGGTATGGATTTAATAATAAGCAAATTGGAATCATGTTTGATAAACAAAAACCAGTCACTGAGTGTTAGACGAGTCATAAAGCAACAGTCCTCTGTTCCAGAAAACTAAAGCAGCCAGAGATTAAACATGACTTTCATGCTCAAACAAAACTATGGACAACTTTCAGATAAAAGCAATAATCAACCATACTAAATATAACGAAGTGATCCATTTGACCTCAATAACTAATTTCTACACTATCATTAAATCATGTTGCAGTAAAGATTATTTGACATTTATCATTCATTTCTATCAAACACCACCACCTTTTTTGAATAGTTATGTCAATTTGATAGTTCATGTGGCAATTTATCGAACAATATCTGTTCATTTATCAGTAATCCTAAACATATTGATAACATCATTCAACATTTTTTTCAATATACTTCATCAACACTGCCTTAATCTAGTCTCATGAACAAACATGCATTTAACTCATGAACAGTGTACTAATGTAAATTTAAGTGAATATTTTGTGAAGATATGTGGAACCCCTTCAGATAACTCGAGCCCTTGAAGAAAGAAGGGAGGTTCCAAAATATATTGAGTTGAAAGGGGTCATTTCCAGCCGATGTTGGACTCCATATTTACTTTCAGTTCAATATAAGCCTAGATGATATGTGCGTGAAGTACAAACAGAAAGTGAAGGTGTTTAACTTATTCATCTGAAGCGACACCAAAAGAGAAAAACAAAACCATAGCTTTAGTATGCATGACCCACCACCTCCAGTAAAGAATAAGAGGTACATTTTGAATTTTTTAACATAAATATTTGAAATCCAGAGATCACATAATCTGTGTTCTGTTCCCTTGATTCCATGTTGTGGTGAATGGTTGATGTTCCACAGCATGGTTGATGTTATCGTAAGTGGTAACATACACCGGAAGGGGCTCTCGTTTTGAACAACTTTTTATTGCAAAGCAGACTCTTGACCATGGAAACAGAGTACGTATCGATTCTTCTACCTATCCTCCGACCTGGAGGTTCAATTGGAAAAACTAGACGGAGAAATTTGTGTTATAGAAAAATATTAAGGCGCACTGAAAACAAAATTTGAGTCATTTCCTACAGAATGAACGCATTGTTGAAGCTTTTTGTGTCAATTTAGCTACATGGTCTACATGATTTATTAAACAAATAATCCATATCAGATTATCAACTTTCTAGTGTGTTTGCACGCTTCAGTAATTCAGTCCCTAATATTTTCGTAATTTCGTTGTTGAAAGCTACATGATCATATCAAGTGTTTGATGAAAAAAGAAAAAAAAAACCCCGACATTCATATAATTTCATTACAGAAATAGCAATTTCATCCACAAAATACGATGTAATACCTAACGAATCGATGTATCCTTGAATCTTCTCGCACAAGTTCCGTAATGAATCCTCCGACACCGCCTCAAATATGAAGCTCTTCCTCACCAAACTCCCTCCCCCTCTACTTCCGAGGCACCATCCGTCGTCACTACCGGTCTCTACAAGTGCCCTAATTGTGATCAGATGTCCGGTCGTTGACAATCCAAGAACTTCCTTCTCTACAGACAAGCACCGAAGAAGTACGCCTCGATCAAACCACCGGAGCATCCCGTCAGTGGAGAGCGTCACTGTTGCTTTACCACCGTTGACAAATACTTCATCGGAGACTATAGGTTGTTGTTCCATCGTCGGAGTGTGGTGGTTGCGAAGGGAATGAGGGTGGCGTGCGGGGGTGGCAACAAATCCCTCGATCGTAGTTGGATTTATCGCAGAAGGATCGCAAGTCAACATATTTACACGTCTTCTAGGTTGTTTTTCTTTGACTTGTGTATCGACTCACATTGCTTGTTCGTTGAGGTTCAAATGGTTCTCAAAAAATTTACAAAAGTAAAATATTTATCCCCCCACCCCCCCAAAGTTCTAAAATTTTGTACTTACACCCCTTCGGATCTAGTTGGATATGTTGAACTATATAATATTTATATATTTTCAGAACAATTTTCAATATTTACACGCGATTAGGGCTCTAGGATGTGTGTTTTTTACACTAGATATAAAACAGAACATGGATCATCCTATGTTTGGCAGAATTTTTTATGTGGAACAGACAAAAATATAGTTAACAAAGTGGAACATGCTTGTTCCACCTTATCATCCTACGGAACAAAATGAAACATACCAATATAACCTCAAAGTAAATTTTAATTTTCTTCTAAAATATCAAGTACGCTTCACATTTTACATTTTATTCATTTTTTATATTTTATTTTATACTCTTTAAACTTTTACTTTGTTGTTCTCAAAACATTTTTTTTATATAGTTTCAATATTTTTATTACTTCATGTGATTTATTAAATATCAATAATGATAAAAAAAAAATATAGAAAATGTATAAAATATAAAATGGAAATTATGTAATCTTTTAATTTTTGTTATTAGAACATTTATTTTCTTATAATTTACATAAATTAATCGCATACAAAATATATAAATAGCTCATTAGGGTAAACTGGTCATTTAATCCGTTAGGTTTAGTCCAGTACTAACTTACCAAACGCTAAACAACTATCTCATATTGTTCTATAATGTCATATCATGTCGTGTTATGCCTTATCTGTCTAGATATATCTTCTTACTACGATACCTAAAATATATGAATGGTTGACAAGATTTAAAAGGTTAAGGGGGTGTTTGGGATTGCTTATTTAAAACAACTTTTTTTTTTCTTCACAAAAGTGTTTATCAACTTATATGGTGTCAAACTGGAGTTTTATAAAAAGTGTTTGGATTAGCTTAAGGCGGTACCAACTTAGTGTTTGACAATTTTTGCTTATACATGTCAAATGACCAAAAAGGATCTTCATCGTCCATGTGATTTTGCTTATACAACGGGTCACTTTAGGGCAAATTTTGCTTATACAGAAGGTCACTTTAGGGCAAAAAGCCCAAAATTCGAACAGCCAAATCTAGATCGATTGTCCTTGTGATTTCAAGATTGTCCTGATGATTCAAGATCTTGATCCTCCCTGTGATTCCACAATGAAGAAGATGGACGGGACTGTGAGGGAGGAAGGACCGGTGTGTATTATGATGAAACCATTGGGGAGCGATTAAGGTAAAAGAGACGATGAAGTAGGGAGGAAGGAGACAACTGAGAAAGAAGGGGAGGAGCTTTACCAGAGGATAGGATTGTCAACATGGATGGGGAGTCGATGTGGCTGGAGAATGGAATGGGCACCGATGTGGTCGAAGAATGGATGGGACGCCGATGAGGCTAGAGAACGGAATGGAGCTTTACCAGAGGAAATGATTGTCATCATAGGAGAGAAGGTTTATTAGGGTTTAAAATGTAATTTGGTTTTCAAATCTATAAGTTAGAAGAGAGTAACTTATCAAAAACCCTTACTAACAGTATAAGCGTTCTCTTTTTTTCTCTCATCCAAATACTAAAAAGTGCTTAGTATCGGTATTATACCAGAATCAATCAATGAACACTTTAAATAAGCAATCCCAAACACCCCCAAATGCAAAAGAAAGTATCAAACTTTGTGCGAATTTTTAATTAGATCCCTGAAGTTTGATAATCAAAAGGAAAACCTATCAACTTTAATATGTTTCATTAAAGGTGACATGTAACGTAGAAGCAATTAACCAGATATTTACTTGCTAACGTGGACATCTCATTTAATCATATACTAATTTGGAAAAAGAAGTCATTTAAATAATTTCGATGATTTTAAAATAAAAAATTGGAGGGTTAGAAGTTCGATGACAATAATGATCATATATTAAAATCAGAGATGGTTGTCGAAAGATCAAAATTGAAGCGTGGTTTGTATTGGAATTGTAAAGTAAATGTTAACTTAATTGCAATTTTGAAGCATTGTTTGTACGTAAGTGCATACCAAAACAAGCCAGATATTATCATTTTTGTCGGACCCTATAATTCTTATTTATAAAAATAATGAAAAATGTACTAAGTATAAAAGTTTGGAGACCCGATAGAAATCCAGAAGAAGGAGTTGAAAAGATTCTAAGTGTTGAAGACAAACCAAATATGCAATGAAGATCCAGAGAGGCTATGAAGACCTGGAGTACTTAACATGATAATCATCCACTTATGAAGAGTTCATCAGGTCGATGAACTTAGCATTTCCATAACCCCTCTGGTTATGTAGCAGCTGAAGAATCACCAAGTGTCAAACATAATTCGATCAAATCTACTCTAGCAAGTAGATACATGAAAAATCCGGATTGGACACGCTACCTAAAGATAGCTGGACGTGACTCATCACCAGCATGAATTATGTTACTCTAGGTACGTAGTTAGAGATAACCCCCCATTCTTCTAGATAAATATCTTCTCCTTATTTATCTCATAGATATCATATACTAGATTGTTATCTCTTAGACTAGATTGCTAGTATAAATAGCATTCACATGTCTTATAATTGAAATAACCTTCTCATTATCGTTATTATTGTGAAATTACTTGAAAGATTCATACTTTCTTGAAAACTATTTAAGTTGTTCTTCACTTTTTTCATTCAAACGATAGATTTAGGTTCTTAATCTTAAATCTTCATGTTATATTGAGAGATCTGAGATCAACAACTGGTATCAGAGCAAATTGATTGATTTTCAATCAAAATGATCAGTTTGAATCTAACATTCAAATCTCTCAGTTTTTTTCTTCCTCTTATTCCTCAAATTCTTCGAAAAATTCTTTCAATGGCCAAATGGAATTCTAAATATAGTGTTGGTTCTCTCATCAAACCTCCAACTCTTCAACGTGAAGAATATCCCCAATGGAAGAAAAGAAAAATAAACTTCTTCGAGGGGATGGACAAGAATCTTTTTAGGTCTGTCCTGGAAGGCCCTTATGTTCCCTAGACTTTGATTCCCAGAGTACCTGAAACTGACACCACATAAGAAGTTGCAGCTTACTATATGGTAAAAATGAAAACTCTTGGGACGAAGCAAAAATTGAAAGGGTGGAAGCTGATAGAAAGACAGAGATTGCTAATAATGGCAATCCATAATGAGATTTTTCAATCTCTGGACGCCTGTACTACCGCCAAAGGATTTGGGATGAGTTGGCAAGCCAACTTGAAGGAGTAGCCAAGACCAGAAAGAATAGAAGGGCCCAATGCCTAAATGAGTACACAAACTTCAAAGCATTGCCTGACGAACCAATCCAAAAAATATATGACCGCTTCAACACATTGATCAATCAATGTCGTAGAAATGACATTGCGAGAACAAAGGAGGAAAACAATGTTATTCCTTAAAAGTCTTGGTGATGAATGGACACAATTATCCATGTCCTTACAAGCAAACCAAGACTTAGACATATGGTCAAACCATGATGTTTATGGAACTCTTGCTACTTTAAAGCAAGATATAATGAAAAGAAAGGTGTCAATAGGAGGACCTTTGGCCTTAGTCTTTGATGAAAATGAGACTTCCAGAGGCTCCTCCAAAGAGCATCATAAGAAGATGGGCAAGAAGGCCTTGATAATTGAATCTGACTCAGAAGAAGAAAAATTAGACTCTGATGACAATCTTAAAGCCTTTGCCAAATCACTTGCTCTAATAACGAAGCAGTTTCAGAAAAAGTTCGTCAAGAAGCCCTATGAAAAGGACAATAAAAGAGACTCCAAAAGGGAGAGATTTCAGCCCACCTATGGACAGAAGACAGTAAAATTCCATCAAAGGGATGAAAGAAGAGAAGACAGAGAAGAAACTATAGAAGACAAAAGAGAAGGTGGAGACAGAAGAAAATATGGCCAAAGATGCTTCTGATGGGAAAAGATTGGCCACTTCTCAAAGGACTGCAGAAGACGACTAGTCAAGGACGGCGATTACTACAAAAACAAATACAAATACAATCCCAGAGAACGAAGCTTAATGTCTGAAAAAGAAAAATAGGTATCTGACTCTTCATCCAATGAAGAAGACAACAAATCACTTATATGCCTCATGGCCAAGTCCTCAGTTGTTGAATCCACTTCCAACTCTCATGACCAGGTACATAATTCTTCTCATGACAAAACAAACTCCGCTCTAACAGAGCTAGAGTTAGAAGTTTTAAAACTCTCAGAATATTTTCAAAAATTAAAAGAAAATTTAAACTTTGAAAAATCTGAAAGAATAAAAGCCGGAAAAAGAAGTTAGTTTCTACCAAAGAGAAACCAATCTTCTCACCGAAGAAAAAGTTGAGATTGAAAAAGAGAAAACCAGAATTGGATCTCTTAAGAGATCAGAAGAAGAAAAACTTCTGGATTTGAACAAGAAGATCTCTAAAGATCTAGAGAAAAAGGTAAAAGCCTTAAAGGAATCTGAGACAGAAAGACTAAACTCATAGCTCTAACGGATTTCTTTCAAAAGAAAAGAGAGATTCTTCATCAGAAGCTTCAAACCAATAAACTCCTGATAAAGAAATACAAAGATGCTCAAAATGTGTATGAAAAACTTAATGGTCAAACTGATTATCAAGGTATAAGATTCAATGACCTTGATTCCTTCATAGGAAACAAGAAAACCACTCTTGAATCTACCTTTAAACTAGGATGTATACAAAAGCCACTTTCAAAGAGCCAAAATAAATTGGAAAACCATATTTTCTAGACAAGAATTTAAAAATATGGTTTATGAATGTAGCAATAGTAAAAGTCCTAATGTAAAGGATAAGTTTCAATTCTTTCAACCAAAACAGAGGCCAATGGAAACTCTGTAGTTCAACCTAAGCCTCTGGACATACCATCCATAAGTAAATCAGAAAGTGCTACTAATGGACCA